TAGATCACCCAGCCTTTTCTACAATATGTCATCATAAAATTGTACCTTGTCTCGTTATAAAAAATAATATCGTTCAATAAAATAGTAAGAGTGTTTCTAGATGTAAAATTTTATTGAATTTATTTTCAGCGCGAGTCTTTAAATAGCGAAGGCGACGAAAATGTTGAATTGAAATCTTCGAAAAATATCTTTTAAGACAGTATCCAAGCTTTGTTCCCCTTTTACTGGGCAATGGTCATGGAATGTTTTGTGCGAAGATATAAATGCAAGCAAAGGCTCACCGTATATTCGAAAAGATACATTAGAGAGTATCGGCGATGGTCAATGGCCGAGGCTGAGTAACCCAGAAAGATCTTTTCAAGTAACTCTTCTCTCGGTGGTTTATACTACTGGGTTAAATCGTTCAATAACCGGACCACGCGACCCCGAACACAAAAGTCGGAATAGAGAGAAAATCCCAGATATTTCGCCTGTGAAGTTAGCGCGACCATACATATCATGAAATGAAGTACGTTTATACATCGAAAGGAAAATAAAGAAACACCGGTATCTTCGAGTTCCACTCCATGAACAGGATTCCAGGCCATCGACCTCCGCTTCGGAATTTCAAATTTCGAATTCGGTACGAACCAGACGCGAACACGATAGGATGAATTCTTGATCGGATAAGGTCGCCGGGATTAATCAAGCAAAGGAAACGAGATTCATAACTAATGGAAAGATTAGCTACCGATTAGCCTCCGTTTGACGAGTAATCGCGCACAGATACAGACTCAGGCATTTACTTGCAAAAATAGACGGTTAACCCGATCGCGCCACTCGATATGAATGAAAATATCGCGCCGACCCTTAACACTATTCCTAGTTCTCTCTATCCCCCGTCTTCCAATGGTTTTCCGATAAAAAGGACAACCCATCCAGGGAGTACGAACGCTCGTTGTCCGAAACGTAATTTCTAACTTTGCTCATTTTGGTAATTCCTATCGTGGGAACGTTCGCGCGTGTAATTTTAAGTTCAGGAATAATCCGGCTATAATAAATTGGCTAGCGTTGTTAAATGAAAGTAACTACGGCCGAGACAAAGGTAAAGTACGAGAATCGTTACGAAATTTCAACGGCTTTATAAACAACCGTTCCACCCTTACATTCGCTTGTTTGGAAAGAAAATGTCCTCGCTAACGGAACAAATTTGATGGCCGTGTCTTTTTCGAACGTTAGAAAGCGCTCACTGGTATCTGGATTTGTGATTTGTTCACGCGAGAGATGTTTTTTCCTAGTAAAATCTATTCGTGGAATACAACAGAGGAAATAAGAATAAGCGAAAGTAACAAAGCTTAGAGAATATTGCAAGTTGCTGGATCAATTATACACTGACACATAAATGTAAGTAAAAATTATTTTCCGTGAATTGTGGTCCGCGTTGTGAAAATAACCTGACGTATTTGTTGCATTCGTTTTACAAAGGAAAGATTTCTGTGATATTCTAAGCCTTTTCAAGCAAAATCATCCACTGTAATGTAACATAGAGAAAAAACCATCTTGGACACGTGAAAATCTATATTCGACAATATTTTTTGGAGCACAGTTGACTTAGTAGAATATTTAGTAACTGTGATTTATTATAGATACAACAATGAAAGAATAATTTAGATTTGGATTTTGTAAATAAAATAGCGATGTTGGAGTAATTGCACGACGAGAATTCAAAGAGAATTGTAACGCTGCACGATTTTATCGAATTTGCAATAAAAGATATTTTGTTGTTTATTCTGTACGTGGAAGGTAGAGACTGTGAAATGCATGTCAAGTACCGCTGCAGGTGCGACTCGCAAAAAAGGCAGGAAAATGGCAGAACTGCAGAAGGAAATGCCAGTTATAAAAACTGAAAATGCAAATTTACCAACAACGTGAACCAGAGTCCAGACTTTTATATAATAAACAACAGCCGCGCAAAATTGGAGGAAAGAAAATTTATGAGAGTATATAATTTGTTTAATTCCTATGCGATCGAATAAGGAAGTACGCTAAATTTACATTTTCTGTCGAGACAAGGAAATTAAGCTCAAGCTTATTAAAAAATTAAGGAACTATGAATTCTCTTTAAATTTCTTTTCTAATTTTTGCTTCTGTTATGTAATATTCTGTTTGAAAGTTCTGTTATGTAACAACGTCCTAGTAAACTTCCTTATACAAGCGAAATTGGTACTTCTAAAAGGATTTTTACTAGGGTTGCAACATTTTTTATATGGGAGACGTTGGCTGAAAGTAACAAGGTTAAATATTCATAAATAAGCTTATATACAGATAAAAGGATGATGATTCTGCATTCTTAAGAAGCTACACATCATTTAAAGGTTTATTCGTTACATTTATTTTATAAGCAAACGTAGCTCGATATTTGTACCTGTTTTATTCTATATATTGAACGTTTTCCATACTCTTTGAAATTAATAATCGGTTCGATTCGATCTAATTATTATTTTCAATAGAAACTTTTTTTGCCTAAAAGGAATAAACATCTTTGTAAAACTAATTGTAACAAAAATTATCGTCCATTAGCAATTCTCGTCAGAAATAGTGTAAGCTTTCTCAAAGCAGGATCTAGATTGCAAACAAATAAAGGAAGAAAGCGGTGGAAATAAGCTATACTAACTGATACCCCAGAGAAAAGTTTGCTATGCTTGGAGCAGACAAGGAATAAAAGGCGAACGAAAGCTTCTGTGAAAACAAAGCCAAAGGAAAAGTTAGAGAACGATGTGTCACTGATGATGCAAAAGGAAACGAATCCGACATAAAAGAATCCTACCTAATCTGCTATGAATCATACAATTTCAACGTTACTAAAGAAAAATGAATGCAGTGTATCGCATGCAAGCTATAGACACCTTAATCGTTGAAAACTTAAAATATTATTTGTCTGTCGAAATTAGAATTGGAATTATAGTGTTCCAATCATATACATTAATGTAACTATAAAAGAAAGAGAATAATTAATATTATTTCTATATATAAAGGAAGGAAAACTTAATATTTAATTACTTTACTACTCCTTCCTACTATAAGAACTAAATCGAAATTATAATTCGTTACATTCACCCCTATTCTTTCGCATCGATCGTCGTTCACAAACGATAATTAAGAAAGTCAGATATTCTACTTGTTGAAAAATACGAATAAGAATCCAAATGTGGACAATCTCGTTGAAAAAGCCTCGCGAATAATTTAATCCAGGAAAAGATGACCTACTCGAGCCGGTGTCCTCGTATCCACGGAAAAGGAAAAGAGTTACGACCTACCCCATTCAATGTTACAACTCACCCCAACGAAGGGGTCAGAAGTAACACAATTTCTTCGTCACAAATTTCCTCACAAAAAAAAAAGAATCGTTGGTCCACTATAACGATAAAATCTTCAATGGCGTATTTGCTCAAAACCTTTCCACTCCAATTTACAAGGAGTGGTCTGAGGAAGAGATTTACGATTCTGTTTTTTAATAAAACACGGATGTCATGAAATTCGATTTTCCTATTTTAAATAAAAGAATACGCTGATTACATAGAAATGATGTCGATTAACACGTTGACTGCTAGTCTAATACTGTTGATAATTTCTACTGTGATTAAATTTTGTTTACAGCCTTTTGGAAACTACATAATCAAATATCTGTTGTGGTATTTATAATTGTAACTTCATCGATTCAATTCAAGGATTTCGTTAAAATTTATTTTCTCCGACACTTAACATTCAGAATTAATTTGTTTAGTTTTTCAGTAAAAATCGCAACGATTAGATTAAAGCTGATCAAGTCAGAAAGAATGTAATTTCTGCATTTTTAAACCTGCTTATACAGAAACGAACAAAAGAAACAGAATTAAATCCAGAATAAAAAATGCAAAGAATCTCGTAGAGAGCGTCGCGATTAATTCGATCCATGAAAAAGGTGACCTATTCTGTTTCGTCGCCTCGAGCCGGCGTCCCCGAACAACTGGACGAAAAAAAAAACCAGCGTAATAATAAGGGTAAATTCTCACCCGTGACGCCGAGCAGCGACATGTTCGAAGATCTTCGGGTAGATCGGCTTAACGCTGAAAGTTTCGCTTAATTGGCCGAGCGGCACTTGACGCGTCGTGGAGATCCGTAGGAAAGTGATGCAGCTATATAACGAGACACGCCGGATCGAAGGAGCACACTCGCGTATACGACGTACAAGCCCCTTTCCGCACCGATATTACTATTTTCTTTCGCACTGTGCGCCTGGGTACCACGTACAACGTGTGAATAGCGGGGGTGGAAACACGCGTGTGTTTATACGTGCATATATGTACTCGTATATATATATATATATGTATGTGTGTATATAATACGTATGTATATATATGTAAATATTACAGAGTAAGTGAAAGAGAAGGAGATAGAGACAAACAGACAACAGACAGACAGACAAACAGATAGAGAAAGATACAATATGTATATATGTGTGTGGAGAGAGTGTGAGTGTGTGTGTGTGTGTCGCGATATGGCGCTACACGGAATCGAAATTTCAGGGCAGGAGTACAAATGCAACGGGCAGTCGATATCACACTTCTCCCGTTCTTTTGTTCTGCTTTTTTTTTTTTTATCCTATACTCGTGTGTACGTATGTATGCACGTTCTATGCCTCCTTCTTCGTTCGACCACGCGTTCACAGCGTGTCCTTTCACAGAAGAGTTTCTCCGGATGCGCCGGCACGCGTGCACCGTCGACAACGAGAGATAACCTCTTCCTCTCTCCCAGATAACTTTCCTCACCGTTGTTCCACGGAAATTCGCGGCTCGGTACAGACTCGAAACGTCGAACCTTTTTTCTTATACGCGCACTCTGTTCGAACACTGTGGGGCTGTCCACGATACGAGGATTCACGCGCGTACTACGTTCCGCAATCCCTTAACAGTGTATCTCGTAGAAAGCTCTCTGGAGCTGGACCGTTCGCGGTTCACTGTCGCGCACGAGGGTCTCCTTTCTCACACGTAACCGGTACCGCACGAATGACAGCGTAGGGGGTGCTGGTCACGCGCAAAACCGTGCGCCTCGCACGTTCCGCCGGTTAACTCTTCGCAGCACGGTAGTTGACACGGTTGACCACCTAGAAAATGTCCATTCACGAGTGTTTAGCATCGGTGACCTAACGCCGGGCCACACCGTCGAGCAATCATACACCGCACGTTTGCACCACCTTGCATGAACGAGTACGAACAAACGTGCATCGCCGCATTCATTCCTCCCGACTCCCCCCAATGCGCACGAATGGTCTCGATGCTAAAATGCTTGTGCCGCAAAAAGTTAAGTCGGCTACTGTCCACGCTCGCGGCCGCCGTTACCTCCTCTTCAGTTCCTCTCGGCGCGTACTCGAGTTCCTGTTCGCCGTGCACCGCGTCCTGTTGCTCCGCTATGTTCGCGGTCGATGCTGCTGGAGTCGGTGCCGTCGGTGCCGCTTGCGTGTCGTCGATCCCCGCGATTGGCAGCGGCGAGTCGTCCTCGTGGTCCGAGCTTAACAGGGTGACGGTAGCACGAGGGCAGTAGCGATAGTAGCACGGGCAAGGCAACGGCAGCGCCAGCGGTACGCAGCTGCTGGTCCTCGTCAGGTCGGTGGCCACGGTGTCGGTGTCTGTGTCGATGTTGTCATCTACCCGGCCGGAACGAGGCAGCATCGTCGTGGCACCGCGGGGTGCTTGCTCTGACCGCTTTTGTGCACCGTAGGTTCGGCCGAGCGCCTCTCGCTTCAGGAGGAGCGCCCACCGTGCCACCTTTCTCGTTATTATCATAGTAGCAAGGGCTGCAGTGCATGCGCCGGTTTGCACGTATCCCGTGCTGCTCGTCAAGGAACCGTGCACCAACGACACCCGCCTCGTCTTCGTCGTCGTCGCGAGCCACGACCGGTTACGGGCATTTCACCGCGATCGGAGAGAGACAGAGAGATTCGGGGGTTGGGAGCACGGAACAAACTGTCGACGAGGGGGATTGGGGGGGTGAAAGGAAAGGAAAGAAATAAGGAACACACGCGGGGCGTATGTATGGGTGCAGGTCTTGCGAAGAACTGGTGTGTAGGAGGTAAGAAAAGAGAGGGGTGCAAAACAAGAGAGAAAGAGAAAGAGAGAAAGAGAGAGAAAGAGAGGGTGAGAATCGGAGGGAAAAGGAGAGAAGGTAGAACCGGGGGTGCGAGAGGGCCACAGGGGAACGTGTAGCACGCACCACGAGAGAAATGAACGAGGAACGTCGCGAACGGGACGATCGAGTTCACACTACCCCTACGTATACCGCGGTGCTCGGCGCTGATCGCGACGGTCCCGTCGTATCGCGCGTCGTTTTCTCTGATTGTTGATGATCTACGGTGCGTATGACGAGACTGCACCGTTGCCGCGGACGTGTACGGTGCTCCGGATGCACTGACACATTAATGCGGTGAAACGTTGTTGCGAACGTACGCGGACTGCTCGACGTCGAGCACTGTGCGGACGGAGACGCCTCCGACACGCCGCCGCCATCTTGCTACGTCAAGCTGGTAGCGTGGCGCCGGCGCCTTGTGGGGTGAACGAGGGAACGCGAGCGCCAGCGAAAGGGACCGATCGTTTCGGCGAACGGCCACGAATCCAGCCACCCCTTTCGACCGTCCTCGCGGAACTGCCGTGCATTTCGCTCCGATTGTTTCCTCATTTCTAATTCGACGTTTCTGTCGACGATTACACGCTCGATTGATGCTCGGTCGACCTTCTTCTCGGACCTCTTCGCGACCTTCCTACCTGCCGGTTATACATTGCACCTTGAAAAAAGAAAGGAAATAATTATCAATTATTAAAAACTACTGAATTTAAAGTAAATTGAAAGTAACTGTTCGAAAGTCAATGTTAACGGAGATTGACTTTTCTAGACTGTTGAAGACAATCGTGTACTGTGATTTAATAAGGGATGTTCATCGAAATATGCTCATTTGTTGGTAAACGTTTATGAACGTTGCGTTGTCGATTTCTTTGAAAAGTCACTTGTGAGCACAAGACGTAACTATACAGGGTGTCCCGTAACTGGTGGTACAAGCGAGTAGGGGGTGCTTTTACGTAAAAAATTGAATCGAAGTAAATCAAGTACACGCGTACTCGACAAATTTTCAAACTTATTTTTTTAATAAAGTTACTCGTTGCATATTCATATGTTCGTAAAGTAATTAATACTGAAACTAAGTATCCATTATTTATGTAAAATTAAAAGTTACTATATTCCATATTTCACATTATTTCCAAATATCAGAGTATTTTGCCTGTACTCGAAACTGTACAATAATTATTGCCATAAATTAACTCTTGCTTCTGAACAATGACTTATTAATTTCTAAATAATTTAAGTTCACCTGTTACGAATAAAGTATTAATTTCCAAATAACCGAATTCACTTGTTAATAATGATGAATTAATTTCTGATAACAATTAGAGATCACCTACTAAAAGCGAAGCATTAGTTTAAAAATAACTAGAATTCACCTGTTAAGAGTGATGCATCGACGTCTAAAATTATCGTTGCACCTGCCACGATGGTTGAATCCGTCCTCTTTATAGATTTTACGAAACCGGGGATCGTCAATAATTTCGCCCGATGAAAAAGGGTCGCGAGCGAAAAACGTTTAAGGAACGCTGACCTATAGGATGCCGTATTAACGTCACTGCCTCCTACCGTAGCGATCAACGAAGCTCCGAGCCGCTTTATTATATTTTTTTGCCGTATTATTCGCTGGATGCGATACGAAGACGCGTGTACGCGCTGTTAATTATCGCGATAGGCATCGTGCCAGATAGAGTTTAAACGCCTTTCTCATACAGGAATCCCCACGTGGAACGTTACACGAGAAATTGATTAAACGGGACACGCGTTCGAGTTCGGAATCTGTATCTTTAATGGATTCGTTCCTTCGGTTTCCGCTCGGGCGCTCCGTTTATTCTGGCGTTCTAATGCAAGGGCCAGTAGTTCCGCTTCCTATCTCCGCACACGAGAGCTCAGGAAAAGGTGTTCGAGTGGTTGCCTCCCGCGTTTCAATTAATTTCCCGGCGTTATGAAATCGATTTAAGACGCGTCGAGCCACCAGGGACGAGTAGCTTCTCTTGAATTCACGATATCGTAAATCGTTTCAGCAGAGTTCCTTAACACATTTCTGTCCGGGAACGACGTCGCCTGCCTCTCGCTCGTGGCCTGAAAAATATCGCATCGGTGCTTCGATAATTCAATGTTTACAGAAGTTGCTCCAGCTATGAAATCGCGATGTGTATTGATTTTCAATTTTGCAATTATTTTTAATTCACTGACAGCTATCAATTTATCCCAATATATACACTCCTGCTTATAAGTATTTGAACACTTCCTCAACTGGAATATGTACATAAATAATGAGAATACATTGTACCAACAGTTAATTTAATACCACACCAGTACTAATAAAACAACAATTCAATTTTCTTTTCATTAATGTATCCACCGCGAGCTACTAAAACTTCTTTTATCAATCTCGTTACTCTGAATATTATTTTCTTCGCTGTATTCGAAATAATATTATTCCATTTATTTTGTAAAACTGTCTTTCTTTTATCGTTGCACATAAATTAATTTTCCATTAAAAATACGTTTGCTTGAAATAAATGTTTAAAACGGTTATTCTGAATAATGTTTAAGTGGGAAGTTCTAAGAAAAAGGATCCCAGAGATGAAGACATCCTTAAAGTACTCGCCCGTATTGAATAACAAGCGTAGCTTTCCCACGTAAAGAACAATGTATAGCTCACGCTTAAGCTTTAAAACACAACGAACTCGCGCATTTTAAGTAGAAAATTGGTTCGTTCGTAGCAGTAATTTCTCTCGAATTCATGGTATCGTGAATCGTTTCAACGTAGTTCTTTAATATACCTTGCCCAAGGAAATCTTCTGAAAAGAACATTAACCTTTCAATTAAATCCAAAGCTGTCCCATTTTTAATAGAGATCTTTAAGCGCAGTTTTTCCCATACAACGAACACGATATAAAACGTCGTCGGCGTTTTTAGGTTTAAAATACACCGAACGCGAGCATTTTAGGTGGAAAATTGGTTCGTTCGTACAACTGCACGTAAAGCGTTCTTGGCTCGCGTGAGAAGTGACCGTAATATAAAGTTGAACGAGCCTGAGGACACGCAATGTCTGGAATTTTCAGTTCTTGCGAATAGCATCCGAAATAGAACGATGTATCATTCTCTAGACTAATGATATTCTCGACGCGATGCTAACGCAAAACTCGTTGAAAATACCGTAGGAGAGACGGGAGCTGTTCCGATGGCTTCATCTTGAATATTAAAAGAGATAGCGATAATTTTTTAATAAATTAGTCAATAGTGAAAAGGATAACTACAGTATTTCTCAATCATTTTCTATATTTTAAATAGGAACTTTTAACCTCAGTTCCACCTACAATAATTTCCGTTGAAAACGATACTTTCAGTTGACGTTCAATTTTCTCGTGGTACTCGGAGCTTAGATCGGGTGATACATAGACAGAGGTAAGCAGATCCGCGATACCGAAGTATCAGTAACAGGTTCATTACTCCCTGGCTGGCACATGCGTCGAATGCTGACTTGTACTACTGTGAAATCGTTTCGCTTGCTCTGTGGTAATACTACTGGCTCGTATCCTCGGCGCAGCAATACGTTGCCATGTAGTTACCGACATGTCTGACTATACTCCACCTAAACCTACTCGATCTCGTGCAACGTGTTACACGACACGAGCAACTACATCCTCGGCTACTGAAATATTGCGTACTCTCCTCGAAGGTACGAATGAGGGAATATTTTTATCGCATTGTGGCGGTTCCAACGAGCTGTGAATAGGAAATGTATATTCGCACGGGGTATGGCAACATTCGATGTAAGCGCAGTTCGTTACGCAACGCGCGCTTTCGATAAATCGAATTTAAAAATGTACAATGCTGACGCGATGTGCAGTAATTTATTAACGAGAGTTATAAATAAATTCCACACACTTCTGGAATAAGAGATACTCGCATGGAGATATATATATATATATACGCATAGAGTTATTGAATGCACGTGAAGTATAAAGAATTCCGGAGGTCTCGACCGAGAAATAAAAACAAGAAATAATGTTACTTATTCCTTTTTTGTTGAATAAACATGACGATGTATTGTTTTAGTGATTCTATACGAGAACATAAATCGAAACTGTGGAATACAATATTCTCATCCGAGCATTCATTATTCAGCAAAGTATCTTGGCTGCCGTGTCTGACCATTGTTCGCCGTTTCTACTTGGGCTGGTGACTAGTACCGATGAATCAATACTGGCTAGATTATAGACAGTAAAAATTGCAAAAACAAAAATATTTTACTACATCGCAGTCAATGTTTACCAAATAGGAATGCAAACAAAAGTAACAAGTAATGGACAGACACGTTGGTGCCTACTCGTATTCAATCGCACGCGTGTTTACAAATTTCCAATATTATTGTTCTCGAGAAAAGCCTCGTATACAAAAACGTTATTTTCCGTTTTCGACGAATTATTTTTATATACAATTTTCACCTAGTCAAGTAGAAATAGTGAGCACTGGTCAGACACGATAGCCAAGTCGTGCTTCATTTTCGATGTCATTTTGCTGAACACTAAATGTTCATAATTACAATGTATTTTTGTTAAAAATTTCTTTTGCTGAAAATATTGTAGAAAGGACAGTAGGTCGCTTGCATTAGGATCGTGCAAGTGGTATTTCGAGAAGTATTTATAAGTAGAAGTATAAATACGTCGTCGGTCACATAACAGGCTCGCCGTAGTCGTGGCCTGTGCCGAGAAAAATATTTCTGAAAAGTAGTCGGTATACAGTCGAAGAAAACCGGAACTTTTGTGGCTCGCTTTCAATGCGTCGCGTTGGCGGTCGTCTTACTCGTTTCAGGCATCACACGAAAACCATTTTATCCGGATCTTCTCTCAACTCCTGCCCCGACATCTGATCATTCGCCCACGTCTGCCGTCCTAAGTGCAAGAATGACGTAATATACAAACGTTCCTCTTGTGCCACGACTGCCACTTGGAAACGTCTTATTTCTATCTATTTTTACCTCCAACCCTTGCGTCAAACGATACGCGCGTCGCATTACGAATGTGCGTGGCAGTACCGTACCGGGTTTCCATATAAACGCGAAGCAAGAAGGTACAATCTGGTATCACCCATGCCACAGAAATGAAAGTATGCACAAAAGTATGAAAAAGCATATTCTTCGCATTTCCAAATATAGAATTAGTGAATCAATGTGTCATTAGTGATATGAGGATAATTGAAGACAGCAATAGAATCAGTATGTGTCTTGCTGTTAGTGCAATGAAAATAAATTTAAAGAATGTCTACCTTTCTTCTTATAAAAAGCAAAATTTGATATTATCTACCTGAATGGTGATAGCGGAAGATAAATTAAAATTGATATCTGTCATATGGCAAGGGATAGAAAATGTATAAGATTGTTTCCCCCAAAAAATGACGCAATT